CTACCTATAAGCTACCTGTAAGCTACCTGTAAGCTACCTGTCAGCTACCTATAAGCTACCTGTAAGCTACCTATAAGCTACCTGTAAGCTACCTGATGTATTGTTTTTTAATGAAGCCCTCACCATCTAAATTCTGTCAAGTTTGTGGAGCGGGCTGCAGTGAGGCTTTTTGTGTCAGTTATATATTATGATAAACAGTTTTTCCTGACTTACAAATAGCTAACAATGAACTTAACTAATGGTAACTTTTGATGCTAATTGAATCATCTTCAATTTCTGCATTCCAGGGTATATGTGATGTCTTTTAATGTCTTTTCTGTTTTATTCAAAGCTGTGGTATTACTCCTTGACATAATTAATTGCCTAAGTTTTTATGAAAGTGTTGAAATTGTTTTAAAATTAATATGGTTAAATTGATCTTAGATTTGTTTGCATTTTGATCTCCTTGTCATGTAGTGTGTGCAGAGAAAGTGATCAGAATGTCTGTAACACTTGATTTTTAGAATTACTGAAGTGGAACTGAAGGAAACGTTATTATCATCATTGGACGCACACTCATCACGGCTGATAAAGCTGTCCAGATCACGTGGAGCACTTGGAAAGGACCTCAGGACCGATCCATATAGATGCCACCTCAAGAGGTAAAGTCTAGTTAAGTTTAGGTAACAAAAACAATTTTGTCATGGTGAAACGAAACCAGCGTTGACTGACATTGGAGACATATATGTACAACAAAACCTCCATCTATCTATGGTCTATACTGCTTACCATTTATTGACCTCTAGCCCACTGTTGCCCAGCCAGGTACACGGGCCAACATACAAAGACAAACAACCATTCATGCCTACAATCAATCTAGAGAATCCAGTTACCCAACACCAATCTACATGTCTTGGATGGTGAAAGGAAGCTGTAGTAACTGGTGAAAACCCCCAGAGACACAGAGGACATGCAAACGCCACACGAAAGGGTAATTGTGAGAGATTCAAAAAAAAGTGTATAAACTGCTTGATTACATAGATTTCCACAAAGATGAGTGAGATCATTTATCAACATGAATGGAGATCATTCATCTATGAAGCAGATTTATTTCCAGGGTTATTTGTTAGTTTCTGGCAGCTTGATTTCCATCTCCTCCATAAAACAGAGATTTGAAAACATTTCCCTCATAGTTGTGAATTTAACTTTAATGCTCATGTCAAACTGAGGCATATGCATCAGAGGACAAGTGAGTAAATAAGAGTTAAGTCCATTTGAATCAGAACTTTCTGCAAGTGAATGGTCAAACATGGACAGGAGTGGGTAAAGAAAATGTGGATGTGCAGTACGACAGTATCTTTATCTAACTTCTTTCATGCTGTTCTCCTTTGTGCTATTCAGACATTGTTTCCTGTTGAGTGTATGAGCATTTATTTTGGTCAAATAATGATCCAGTATTCATGTAATGGTTGGTCTTAGTTTTCATCAGCTACTAGTGATGTTTTCTTAATTTACATATTTGCATGTGATGTCTTCATGTTGAAACACTCTTGGCCACTGCAAAAAAAAAAAAAAAAAACTCCCATCCCCCATTGAGATCAAAATAAATAAATATAGGGCAGAAAAAAACCCCATCAGGAATCAATAATTCATTGACATATACTGTACTTTCTGCTCTAGGGGCTCTAGAGAATGGAGCTGGATGAGATATACTACACACACCTGCTCTCTGTCCCTCTCTGACACATGGGTTGGATGCACTTAATCCGGTGCTCCCAGGATCCCCTGAACTGGAGCCAGACAAAGATCAGCTTTACCTGATAACACAGTTAGGGATCAAAAACCCAACCCAGAGCTCTCCATCAAAAAACCTTATTGAAGGTTCTGCAGTCCTCTATGTCTGTGTCTCTTTCACAAAACTTGATTTTTGTGTGTGGCAGACTTCTTCTTGAACTTTCCACTTTGAAACAGAACGTCAGTGTTATTTATCTCTGTGATATGATCGTCTTTTCATGTGCTTTTGTGTAGCCAATTAACTCTCTCAGTAATTGACATTTTTTGCTTGTGATCTAGTGAGTGTTTCCTCAGAATTTACCCTCATTAGCTTCAAATAGTTAGAAGCTTATGCAAGTTTAATGCCCCTAAAAAGTGCTTTGAACTCTACACGTCCTACATACAGCAAACAAAACATTTTCTTTTTCCTTTTGGGCATATTACACATTTATTTGTGTGTGCTTTTATACAGCATATAGAATAAATCTATTTCCACAATATTCAAATGTGTTTGTGTGTATGTTAAGAAAGACTATCTACATAACGCAGACAAAAGAAGCAATAAAAAGAACTATGGAGGAGAAAATGAAGAGGAGAGAAGGAGTATGAGAATGTACATGTGCCACTTAATATTTTATATCCACTCCAAGTAGCACTCTTGCATTTTTTACTCTGTTATTGCATCAACCAGACCAGAACAGAAGAAGTCTGAGGGATTCCAAGGATGTTCCCTTTTATGTAACATTTCAAATAATCACCACTAATGGAAGGAAAACAGCTGAATTTTACAACATGCAGGTAATACCAGAAATTGGTATTTACCCCAAGAGGCATGTCTTCATGTCGTCATCAAGACTTAAAATAATAAGTAATACTAACAAACTTGCTTTAAGTGTTCACATTAGACACCATACTATCACATAAGGTGAGAACAAGAACCAAGGCAACCCACAGCGAACTGTAACAACAGAGCTAACACAGCTGTCCCTGGAGACAATCTACACGAGAACAAAATTATTCAGAGACAAGCGCTTCACTTCAGTATGTCTCAGCAGAAGGACTCAGGAGTAAGAATTTCAACAAGGTCAGAGCTTGTTGTCACATTGTCACAACCTCCTCCCTCATTGACACGTTTGTTTTTCTCAGAAACACGTGACCGTGCACTGCCCTCTTGTGGATGTATTGCTTAACAATCACGATAACATAAAGGATGCATGGAAGTATGTGGGCTGTGATGGTTACATTGTTTGAAACGGACAGATATTGCCGTATGTGTACGGCTGCATAAATTAGCTTTCAGAAGGAATGGGACAGGTGGACAGTTGGACGTACGTGGACAATCTGGAAAGCTACTGCCTTCGGCTTTGGCTGGCACAGAGGCATAAAAATTAAACTCTGAAGATACATGTTTTTTCTTTTTATGGACCTTATCTCTGAGCTCCAAACGGAATCTCTGAAGCCTTAACTTTTATTGCTGTGTGTCAGCAATGTCTTGATTCAGTCATCTGAAGATTTTTTATCTGCTGACAAGGACTGTTAATCTGAAAGCTGACAGCTTGCAACAGTGCACAATAATTGTGTATTACAATGCATCAGGAGACAGCTTGTGATTCTATTTGACATTGATAATAAAGCAGTACCTTAGTGTACGTAGCAAATAATAGCAAAAGGAAAAATATTAAATCTAAGATCAACATAGATACGGTCAATGCATGGCATGGTTTCATTATTAGCTGATATCTATTGTGGTGTTTCCACAGGGAGTCGGTGCTGCAGCGAGCAGACACACTGAGATAAAGAAGAGTGAGATAAAAGACCACACAACACAATATGTAATCCAGAGCTGTGTTTGAAAACACTGCAGTTTACGCTGACGGACAAATGAATCACGCACTCGATAAAGAATTATAAGCTTGTTTGAGTAAATTATTCTGCAAGAGAAATTGTTTAAGCTGAATAGTCTCCTTAGAGTAATTTGACAATTTGCAAATGAATCATGCATATTGTAATTGTTTGAATAAACACAATGACTGTTTACTGTGTTTCACTGGGGCTATGTCGATTAATGTATGCATTGTTTCAGTAGGAATAGATCTTGTCTAAGCCTCTGCACCAGTGTGAAAATCAGATCTGTAGAGCTGCTTTTTATCCCAGTTTTTTCCTCTGAAATTCATGTCCACAGATGAAATGACAACTGGAGCCTTAAATCCATTCTCTTCATGACTGGCACATAGGCACAATTCAGCAGCTCTGCTTCACTCGCAGTAAAAACACTCAGGAGGTGATGCATTTATTAACAAAATCCCTGCAAAGCCGGCTCATTGTGGTGTCGCAGACAGCACACAATATTTTATGTGCTCTCCCATTAATCATTGTTCAGTACAGGGAAGGAGGGAGAGGTGGTAGCAGTGTGATGGTAAAGTTCAACTTTAATTTCACTCAATGAAGTGGACGAGGAGGAACCGATACACCCCAACGAGCCACCTACACCTCCACTGTGGTCGTACTGTGCTGTTATAATTGAATTGGATGCTAACTGAAAACAACCCAGTGTAGAGACTCTTCTGTAAGCAGCGCACATGACCTTTAGGCTTCAGCTGACACAACAGAAATAGACAAAAAGGCGGTGGAGCTCCATGAGCCGAGTAGACACAGTTCTCCTGTTTGTTCTTCCCCTCTGCGCTCGTGTGTAAACTCAGAACAATGTGTATTATTAATGGAGCATTTTGAGTTTGCTGCTTCTGAAGTGTTTTAGAAAGAAGTTTAAATACCTCCTGCGCCTGATGAAAACCTTTTGATGCCAGGGACTTTATGCATACATTAGACAACTTTTCCTTTCCCAAGACCAATGCATGGACTTTACTTAACCGTCAAAACCAAGCTACAATCCGATACCAGTGGATTCAAAAGAGAACAACTTCTATAACATTCTGACTGTTATATAACTGGAAATGAGGAGAAAATTAAAACCATAGAAATTGACAGTCATAACCAAAACAAATACATATAGAACATAGCTTTAAATAGCCGTTAATGTGTAGACACAGTCTAATAAAAGATATTTTACGTAGTACCAAAACTGAAGTCTTGCATATGTACTACAACATTCTACTTGTGAAATATACCTTGATATCTACTGGAGCATTTTAGCAAGCTTTGGAAAACGCAACTCGGAATCACTTCTTCGTTGCTATAAAAACAGTACTTTCCATTAACACTACAGAACAACTGCTGCTTTGGAGTTCCAAAGAAGAAGAGCTTTCTAGGAGAAGTAAATTAAAGTTTTACTTAGTTGAAACTAAACTACTGCTGCTTTAAATATGTGGTATTGGGTCAGTGCATAGATTTGCGAAGTAGCCAGTGCCTGGCACGCCATTAGCTGCAGTATCTGATGCTCGTATTGGTATCTGAACATCTCTAGCTGTGATAATGACCGAAAGCATCATAATTCCGGTTGTGATGAAAAATGGTTAGTGTTTCATTCTGGAAACCTCTCAACCAGAGATAAACCGAGCTGCTGGTAATTTCAGGAAATAAAAGGTTTGGATGAAAAGTGGCGAGGCTAATAAAAATCCTTCCTCCCGCCTGTCAGTCTGGCTAACGTCGACTGGTGAGAGGTAGATTACAGCTGGATTTGCTGGCTTGACTGAAAGTTGTTGGCCTTTTTATCACAGCTCATTTGTTTTTTTTCCCCTTAGACAAAAGCACTACGATTGTCCTTAAGTCTGACTGACACCTCTGTGCTACCACGGCAACTGGAAAAGAGATGCCCTGATCATGCAGAAAGGACAGAGGCTCTTTTACCTGGAAAATAAATAATCTAATCTGTTGCAATATATTGTTTCAACACACTTTTACAGTATTTCTTGACAAGCAATACTTTCTTTTTCTGTGTCGACCAAACCCGAACACTCTGCGTGTTATATAATACCAGAGGGATGCTCTAAAACTTGAGTGAGTCAACTTCTTGATTTCCTCCGGCAGCTTTGAGTCTCTTATCAGCAGAGCCTGAACAGCTTCATGCCGTATAAAACGGTGAAATTTGGCTTTCAGAGTCCACAAGCAAAAAGAAAAACATGACCACAACACAAAGGCACACAGAGTTATTCACTCTCCTATTCAACGTGCAGTGTAATGATGGGTTTAGAGCTCTGGCTGTGCAGATAGTCTCAGTGGAAATCGATACAACCCACAGATTATTTCACATATGAGTCAACAAAAGCACCACAAGCAACCACAGAGAAAAAGCAGCGAAGAGGAGGAAGAGAGCATCCTGCAGGGCAGACAGTCTCACAGTATTTCATATCAAATCTATAACCTAGTTCAATCTGGGACTGCTCGTCTATTTTCATAAACTACCAAATTTATTAATACTCTCTATACTGTGTAAATTACAACCATTTTCATTTTCTTCATTTAAAAGCTGATTAAGCTCAAGTGAAAAGAGGTTTTCATCCACACGGTGTCCATGTGAAACATGTTGGGAATTGGAGCTCAATTCACCACATTATTGTCCCTTTGGCAGGTGCCATGACATGAATGATGGAAATGATAATGAGAATCAACTCAGCTCAAACACGTGATCATTTCGGTTCTCCAGTTCAGTATAACTCATATCTGTCTCATGAGATAAATATGAAAACAAATAGAATTTTAGATCTAATGCTCACCATTCTCCAAACTATTTCATCCCATTTGTCACCAATATTGAGCATGGCCATATCCTCTTCATAGACTCATAGATTAAAAGGTTTATATGCTGTGTGCTCTGTGCACTGTGATGATCACATCCTGTATGGTTGATTAATTTGCAAGTCAATATCAGCTCTCATCTATGCATCACATTATTGGCAAGTAGGTTTATTGGGTCTGCGCTTTTCTATTCATAGAAATAACAGATGTTACATCGGCAATCAAGTTATTTTTTCAAACTTAATGACTTCTTAAAAACTGAATTTTACAATCATCATAACATAGAATGAATGTAAACCAGCAAATGAAAAGCATTTCACAGCCTGATTCACTGTACTGTAATGAAACCATGTTATCATGGAGGTTATTATTGGAGGTTATATTGACTCACTTTCTGAAGGTCGGTATGGATCCCTGTAAGGTCCGACCAGGGGACGTCCCTGACCCGTGGCTCCGTCCAGACAGCAAGCTGTCGGTTTCAAACGCAAACATCCCATCACGATCGTCAGGCACATCCAGGAACTCCCCGTCGCTCCACACTCCCACTGTGCCATCCATCGGCTGGTATCTGATTTCTATAGTAACACTGGTCTGAAATGAAGTGAAAGGAACAGCGAGTTTATATTATCAGTTGATATTCAGTTGATATTTTAATTTAAATACAATCTTATACACCACCAGTCTTATGAAAGGCCTCAGATGGATTGACATTCAATTTTAAACAGGAGTTTATGGAGCATAGAAAATGATCTGCATTGATTTAAATGATTTGTCGTTGTTTTTTCTGGTGCCACAATGACTTTGACCTTGTGGTTCTTAGAAGGATTTTCATTATATTTGGTGTAGTCTCGTTTCCCTCAGGATAACTTGTAGTTCCTACATTTTTCACCATCTTCAGGTCAAAATCAATAATTCAAAGTAACTATTAATTAATCAGTTATTTGTTTTATGATAAAATTCTTGCGAAACCAATGAAATTCCCATCGACCCCAGCAATGTTCAGCACTGATTAGGAAATGTTCACATCCTCAACACTAAACCACAATGATAAACACTTATAAAGACTAAACATGCAAAACAACATTGTGAGGACGCTAGTGTTTGAGTCAGAGCACCATTGTGAATGGTGGACTGTATCTACATAGCTTTAGTGCCTTATGCTAAGTCACCAATTCACACACACATTTATACAGCTCTACTAAATGCTCTTCTTTTCTATTACACACCATGGACAGCTATTTGGTTTAGTGTCTTGCCCAAGGGCATTTTGGGCATTTGGACTAGAGGAGCAGCGGATACCTACTTTCTGGTTAATGGCCACAGTTCAGTACCACTACCACTGCTGCAGACTAATTTTAAGTGCTCTATGAATGAGCTGTCCCATTTATTATTAATATGCTATTAAAGACAACATGGTGCATTACTGTGCAGTATATACAGGTGCGTACACTTAATATACATTATTTTAGTTACAGTATAACTCTGCAGTTACTGCCAAACCAAACCTGTGCTGAAAGAGTCCAGTGAAACTACCGACCAGCCAACACCTTCAGGCTCATTTGGCTCATTTAATCGTGTTTGGAGAACTCTCAATATGCACAACAAACTTTAACAGGACTGTTTATCATCTCCTCTGCCTGGTTTTGCTTGGGGACTTTGGATTGACAGTAACTGTTAGTTAAATGTGGGCCAGAAACATTGGTGACAACGCAGTTTGTCTTCGGCGCCTTGAGGAGAATCACGCCTGGGCTGATATTATCCTCCTGACAATGACCTGATCTTTATTATAAAAAGGCCAATTTATTCCACTGACAAAGACAGATGTGGAGTAAATATACACAGGGCTCCTGCTCCCCCTCTCCTCCTCCGTCTGTCTCCATGTCGCTCTCCTTTCACCCTTTTGCAAGACAATCACTGTAGTCCGTGAGGAGTTCGATTTGTTACTATGGCAACCATACCAGTGCAGAGTTGTAAGTAAAAGTGTTGCTCTTAGTTTCTCGCTGCGGGGCTGTACAGTACTGAAATGTGCGTTTGCTTTGATGTGTCTTCATGCAAAAGCACTGTGACAGTGTGTGTGTGTGTGTGTCTGTGTGTGTCTGTGTGTCTCTGTGTGTCTCTGTGTGTCTGTGTCTCTGTGCCTGTCAGCACTCCCATGCGGTGTGGCATCATATCAGAAACATCACAGCACAGCACTGCCAGCTCCACAAACACTTCTCTCCAGCCGCGGTGCTTTAAAACCTCACATGGTTAATTTGTCCTGCACACATCCTATTGTCTCATTTCCACATCCATATTCACTCTCACATTATTAATTCGCCAGCAAAATCATCCTCGCACTGACCTTCCCCGCGAGCTACTCTCTGCTCAGCTGTTCTAAACACAATATCCAATTGATAGAGAATATGTGGATTAATGTATATGGGGAGTATCTCAATATGCTGATTATTTTTAGTATTAGTAGTATTAGATTAGTATTTCCATCAGGTCCTTGTCTTAAATGGTGGGGCCTTTATAGCCCTGATGGTGGCTGTTACTTCTCTCTATTGCCACCACTGCAGGTGTAATGAAAGATTTATCTCTTCATTTAATGTCTCTTATTTGCTTGTGACTGCATTGTACTGCTAAATAAGATTCGGTTTAGTCCTTCTTATGTAAGCCATCTAATTTTAAGGCAACACACTGTTGTTTGGACTATGCTCTTTGAAGTTGTAATACAGATTTTTATTTATACTGACGGGTTTGTTAAACCTGACCTAATTATTCATATGGCAACTCGGGGCAGCACAACGTGCTGTAAACACAACTATAAAGTTAATAACCATGAAATTCAAAACATAAAATTCTCACAATATTGATGCACATATAAAACAATCGTGTAAATTATCCAGATCTTAAAAAATATTTCAGTTTTGTGCAGTTTGCAAACTTGCATAGCTACTGTATCTCGATAATATTGTTCTTTGTTAACTTTGTTACAGCCATACATATCAAGCCTGGTCTCACTTTTTGATTTTCATATTCTACACTACTAAGAGATGCATGAGCAAGCTCCTGCTGTTAAGCCTTGCCTTTATTGATGTGTTGTTATCATCGATGAGAGTGTCAGTCAGCTCTAGGTGTCCCTCTTCAGCCACCTTCTGCAGTACCATACAGAACGTTCCCACCGATCTGCGGGAAAGCATCGACAGGGAAAAACACGTCGTTAACAAAAATCAATGAGATCAATGAGATGTGGCATTATGTGTTTTAGTTCTTTGTTCCTCCTCTGTTGACCATCTGTTTACCTAAAAATCATCAGTCTGAATCGTCACACAGCTACTTTACTTTATATGTTTTTTCTGTTGCTACACTACTGACCATTGACAAACTGTACTTCTTTTTTTATATTCCCCGAAAGCATCTGCTCTCCACCGCTGTGCTTCACAGTGAGAAGCTGAGTGTGTGCCAGAGATAAGAGTCAAGGAGAGTGGGTGCTGATATCGGCTGTGACTTGAGAGATATTGAGAGAGTGCCAAACTGCCATTATCACTATACTCTCAATACAGTGTTTCACACCTCACCTCGATCAATCCCCTACTTCACCAAAAGAGAAGTGCACATTCACTGTAGTTAATTCAACCCCCATCCATTCATTTACTTCACCACTATATTATATAGAAAAAAAGATGTGGTAAATCCTTCTGTAACATTTAAGATTAGAGCCCCACCACTATGGATTTTTGGTGGCTGATGCAGATACCTGCCTCTACTGGTTTGTTATATATGCCCAATCGGTTTTTACTAGTTGTTACATTTCTCTTGCAGGAATACTGCTGTCCTCCACAATAAAAAGACAATGGGAGCTCGATTAAAACAGGGGCACTTCCAACAATGATCCCACTGATTATAATCTTCCTGCCCTGTCTGAAGTTGTAATCTGTCCTGTCTCGTTAGATAATACAAGTAGCACCATTAAATATACATTTAAAATATCTGGTGTGAAAATTAGCAAAGCATGTGTTGTATGTTATTATATCAATTAGGAAATGCTACCAATCTGGGTTAGGGTTACACATCAAAGAAAATGAAAACGACAAAATAACTTCTACTGTGACTCAGCAAAGGCTTTCAATACTTTGCAGAACCAGACCGAAACTTCTAGCCACTTATCTTAAGCTCTTATCAAAGCCCTTAAGGACAACTAACTAATTAAATGAAGACAAATGCACCATTCATCCACCCAGAACACTTAGTGAAGAATTTGTACTTGCTTTTGTTATGGCAAAGTTAGGTGTTACTTGGAATTTGCAAAGAAAAAAACAAAGTTTACTCAGTTTGTCTTAATTTAAAAGTTAATGCAAAAGGCTGCGGAGGCTCAGTGTCAACCTTCAAGCCAACTACAGCAGGTGCACACATTGTACATCTCAGTTTTACTTTATTTCTTCTTTTTCACTGTAAGAAAGCTCAGGGTTTAAAGAATGGATTATTTGAGCATCATTATGCTTTGTTCATTTTTGATCAGTTACTGTTGTTAACTAGGAAACCAAGCAAATATACTGTATGCCTTCAGAGGCTTGAGTCCTCCTGCAGTGGCCATTGTTTAAGTTCCAACCAAATATTCTGTGCCTTCCCCATTCTCTCTCCCCATTTCACACTTAACTCTGTCCTGTCAATAGACAAAGACTAAATTGTCCAAAAATCTCTAGTCCTTGGTGGAGGTACACAAACACAACAGAATAAGAAGATAATCGTTTTCGTTACATATATAAATGGAAAATCCTTAAACATAGGGTTCATTGCAGGGATCCCTCATAGGAGCTTAGCAGTGGGAAGAAACCCAGTACAATCCCCATTCAGCGACGCAATTAGAGCTGGTGAATAATTTAAAGAGTTTCCCCCAAAACAGTTTGTTGTTCTCAGAGCAATCTGTCACACACAAAGAACATGTAGGCCAGCCTCAACCATATGTAATTTATACTAGGACGGTCACACACACAGTGAAAAACACTGTAAATACAGCTGTGCTTTAGATTTCAGCGTATATGTAACACAGTGCAAGATAATACATGTGGTGAAACAAGAGATTCAATAGTAAGAGCAGATGCACAATCACCAGGCTGGATATGAGTCCGCAGGGAGAGATAATATCATGAAAGATGGGCATACGATCAATAGCTTTAACACAGGCGCACACACACACACACACTCAAACACACACAAAGAAAAAACACAGCGATTGTGCCTAATGATGTGAGTGTCCCAGCAGGACTACAGAAGTTGACAATCATGAGTGAATTAGCTCAATACACACACACACACACACCTGAATCTCAGGATGAAAAACTATACATTCTTATTAAATGCTTAAGCAAAGAATAACAACACATGAAGCACGTGGCCTCTTATCACTGAGCAAATAAAGAGTGGTCCCTGTTTATCAGCTGCTATTATTCTTCCTCTCTTCCTTGAGTAATCTCCATCTTTATCTCTGTCCTCGCCTAAACTTTCTCTTTCCTCCAGAGCCAGCAGTGACGAATTCGAGCTACAGTAGTTAGTGAGGCTACATTTGTCAGCAGAGCTTTAAAACTTAATAATGAGATGAATTTAGACTTGTAGAATATGACTTCAATGTAAATAACCAGTTTATTTGAAGAAAGGTTTTCTCTGTGAAGGTGAATATCTGCCACGTTCACACTCAACTCTGAAGGCTTTAATGTGACTAAAGAAGGTTATAAATGTTTCTGTGCAGGAAACCTTTTCTTTGAAGATGAGTAAAGACTTTTGACCTGACAGTACAAAACCACAGCAGAATAATCGCTCTTTCCTTCACCAGACAGTGGTGATCATTATCTCAAGCTCTGCCAAGAGAAGCAAAGGTGCGGTCATTTCCTTTCAGCCATTGTAACATGTGTACAAGTGTTGAATAATTAAGCTGAGCAGAGCCTATCATGTTCTGGCTCACTTTTTAGCACTTCAAAAGGTGGCATTCATTATTGATTGTAGTTCTGCAAACAATTTACTTTCATCTGCTTCATAATTCAGAGCTTCCTTCCCTTTCAATTTGTGTTATTTGCGAGCCTCTGGTATCTTTTGAAAATCGAGACGTGACTGATGAAATCGCTGGCAGAGCCCGACTGCAGAGAAGGTGAGCACGACGGAAACATAAAAGTCAAACAGGGTTGTTGTCGTGGTTGCTCTAATCCAGCTCAGCTGCTGGTAACTCAGCTGGACGGACAGTGTGAAATGGAAATGTTACAGCTGACGTGTGTGTTTGTTTGTGTGTGTGTGTGTGTGTTTGGCCTTTGATTAGCAGGGAAAAAACCTCTGCCAAGCATCTCCTCTCCCCTCCCATTGGTGTATACAAGCAGATATAAACATAAAAAGATTCAACAAACATGTCTCCCAGGACAAATATTGATTCACTTGGACACATTCGGCACTTGTTTTCTTTCTCTCTAACACAAGCAAGATAGATTTGTACACACAACACACAACAGACAAAGCTATCAAGCCTAGTTTTTCCATTGTCCGTCAGAATGCCAATAAAATCAACATAGTATGTGGTTTAGTTGTTCATATTGCCATTGACATTAAAATATTCTATGTAAATACAGTGTAACCCAGATTTCATTTACAGAAAGATGAGGAGAGAAAATACACAGAGGGACACCTACAAAACTTTTAGAAAATTAAGGTGGAAGGAGGACATTTTGTAGGTGTCCCTCTGTGCACTGAAAGGGTAACTATAGCAGTAGTGTTTATTTATTAAATCCTCAATTAGGCTTTATGTTATTTTCAGATTGTGTATATATTTTAGTTAATAAAAAATAACTGGGGAAACAGTTTTTTTTCAATAAAATAACCACAGGATTGATTTGCATTTGGATAAATTGGATCAATCTGTGATGATTAATATCTTGGGGTTGGAGCAGTGGCACAACAGCGTCACTTAAATTATTAAAATCCATCAAGAGAAGGGGCCGTGAATGGCAGTGAATTTCAGTCTGGACCAAGTGGTGAACCGACCAATGAACTGTCTTTACCCCTCCTACTGAGTCAGAATCAGAATCAGAATCAGTCAAGCTGCTAGCATGACTAAAATGTAAAATTAGGTTAATTTTTGTCTTCAAAAGAGTAATAAACCTTTTGAGTACCAGCTAATGTTAAGATAAACAGAAACTCAATAAGGAAGTGCACCGAGGGGATGACTCGATTAAGTGAAACCAGGAGAAGAGAAAGACAGAGGAAGATTTATTTGAGCGAGGAGCAGCTTTGTGAATTGTAAACAGTATTTTCTCACTTTAGAGGAAGTTGGTTGCACTCAAACTCAAAAAGCAATTTTACGGATAGAGAGGAAAATAACATTAAAAACAATCGAACATGAGAAAGAAGCTCAAAAGTTTCATGTTTTTCAAAGAGTACACAGAGCTTATATACTAGCCACCGGTAATTTAAAACTCATAATGTTCTTTTTAAATGGATCAACTATGGCAACACTTCTTCCTGACAAAACAGATACAGTGTCAATAATCAAGAACTGATGTTCCCCTCTGACACTCAAGACTTTTTATATTTTACCTGGTAACTTTGGAGTAAGTTCATGACCTGGCAACACTGGAGAGCTACCAAGGCCTCCAAAAATGCCTGGATCCACCCCTTTGTCCAGATCCAGCCCATGTCCCCATCCAAGTTTCATGGGAATCCTTTTATAACATAGCATCCTTACTATTAATAATTCAGATTGTACTATCCCTCCTCCTCGCCTAGAATCAATGACCTCTGAGGAGTGGGGCTGAAGACCTCAAATATTCCTCCCCTATCTCCAAGCCACAGTGGAAAACTGATCATAAAACATGATGTATATACCACTACAGCACAAGATACCATCATGCATCGCTGCTTCTCTTTGAGTTGCGGTAATGTGATCGGACCTGTGGTTGGAGGGAGTGACACACTGACCTCACCGTGTGTTCTGCCTAAAGTGATGAAGCAGATCACTTACCCTGGTAATGATGCAGCCTGCAGACATATGGAGCAGGTGTGAGAACAACACCAGCTATGACTCACCTTAAATTATTTAACCACTTGAATGTGTGTTGGATTGTGTTCAAGTGTCTATGCATGCAAGAGTATGTGTGTGTCTGCTCACATTAGACTATACATGGATGAAAAAGTTTCTTAATCGCATATGATTTAAAATTGGTGACAACATTTTATTTCCTTATCTTATTGAAACTCCCCTAGTGGAACATTGAAACCATGTTTTATATATGTTTAAATCATCTATTTATAGGTGCCTGCTGTTTGCTTATTGATTTTATTATGACTGGCTGACTAACTACCAAGCCAACCACAGCTTTATAGGCTTGATTAGAAATGGGTATGCAAATATTCCATCCATGGCAAAGGTTTTCAAAGAGAAACACCAGTTCGGTCTAATTGTCAGGCTAATCAAACTGACTATAGATATTTCTCTGAAAACTTCTTGAACTTTCTGCCCCTGTACGATTTCTTGTGCTGCTTCTGTTTCCCACTTCCACACAATTGCTCCAGATAAATCATTGTGACAGTTAGAGACTGCCAAGGTGTAGAGCTGATACATCTGCCTGCTCACCTGCCATACACTGTTAGTGCCGAGTTGTCATTGCAACTGGACGAGAAACGTGGCACTGCCTACAGTACACACACAACTATGCACACATGTGGCAGACTTGATAATGTGTAAGATAAAATACAGAGACAGTGGTGCGCACACATAAATTACCACCTACGTACACACATAGACAAAGCAAGTTCTAATGACTGCGTGGGCTTTTTAATTTGTCCTCAGTCCGGTCACGTCAACAACCTAATTGGATTTGTTCGGGACACAGGAGAGAGACACAATTCCCGGCCCAATCAGCCAATGTCTTTTCTGATCAGGAAATATCAGCCAGAGGAGCTACACTGCAGGATACACCTCGAGGGACAGGGAGATGAACAAGAAACAAGAAAAAGAAGTGGTGGAGGAGGAAGCGATGGATATGTATTAACAAGCCGGTTTCCATATGTCTCAACACAAACTATGTCTTGGGAGTAGTAAGATCACTGAAGTAGGTTTGAGAGCAGAGTCAGAGCATTGTTCAAGAGAACTGTTAATGGCTCATGACTTCAATTCACCCGTCTTGACAGTAAAAACCATATAGAGTGTATATAAAGATGGACGATTTGACAACTCCCCCAAAAGTGAAGCCCAATAATCTTGGTGTCCCCCTAGTGGATTGCTGCAGTATCGGTCACAAACCCTGTCTCTCCTATTTTTAGTGGATGGGACAGAGACCAAACTTAAAAGTCAAAGTTCAAATCTAATAAATGTTTCTCAAATATATGTTCTGTCATTTTAGGTAGTTCTTATCACACTTGTGTACGTTCAAGTTTAGGTTTAGTTATTTGATGCTATTAAAAAATAAATATAATATATGTATATAATATATTATGTACATGGTAAAAAGAAAACCATTTATTATTTGTGTGAATCGTGGACATTCTTTTCAAGCCAGGATTATATCATCACACGTACAGTACACTCACACACATGCACGTTGATAATTGAAGCACAAGACATGTTTAACAAGAGATCCCAGTTGCCTCATCCACAACAACCCGCTGTGTTTTTCGTGATGTGATTGCTTGCAGAGTGTGGAGTGATAAATCTGCCTGAAGATCTAAATCTGTTTCATTACCTCCACCCTCATCCCGATGTGAAACTCATTCATGGCCGAAGCTCTGCGGTTTGCAGTCTGTTACACACACAATTGAGTCAATTTAGAACACGCTGTCAGGGAATACAAGGCTTATTCTGCTTTCGCTGAGAAACACATGCGGAGTGTCATTCTGAATCAGTCAGAGGCTGTGACAGGAAGGGCACTGAAACCAGAAACAGTTTACCTCTGTTCTCCTGTTTGGTGAGCTACATGTGGTTTAAACACAGGCAGCTGGACACCTTACCTGTTGGAGAACACTTTGCTGTAGTTGTACACTTGGATCTCCAGCATCTCGTTTCCATCCAGCCTGCTGGCAATGGGCCATCGAAATGTCTGAAAAAAGACGAAAGGCTTAAGAAGATAGAAAGTAGGCTCCAACTATTCAATTAATGAACATATATTTTTCTATTGTCCAGCAAGATGTCTGAAAATAGTCTAAAACCAAAATATATTTGATGTATAATAATAAATATGAATTAACAATACGATTAGATGGGAACATTGACCACTTTCATATGAGTTTGGTAAATATGGGTCTGTACATGTAGGTTGCCTAAAAACTTTATAGATTACTCAATACAGTACATATCACTTATTGCAAAAAAATCAACAGGAGAATTAATGTTAAATGACTTAACGTGTTACTTTCATTACTTTGTCCAGCTCTGTCGAAAGCCCCTTTAAAAAACTCCAAAGAAACTTTCTACACCATGTTTTCTGTATTTCACAGAACTAAGTCTGGAATGTTTGGTTTAACAGACAACTCAGCCTGGAGCTCAGTGATATTCACCGACCACTGCTGGTTTAACATTAGCCACAGTCACTGCACACAGCACAACAGAAATCAGTCCTCACAGAGAAGCTTTAGAGGTACCACTACATTTCTCACATGTTAGGCCTTTGCTCCAATCTCAAATGTCCTTAGTTTCTAATTCTCAATTTAAAGGGATATAAGGGTATTTCCAGAATATCATCCCATTCCTTTAAGTCATCAAACCCCAAAGATTCAAGGCCTCATGTCAGCAAACATTAGTTCCCCTGTCATGCTCCTGAGTTCAAAACAAACCCTACCTTCCTACTGAGACATTTTATTTATTACCATATACACCTGCAGGTTGAGTATCACTGACTTAGAATATTGATCAGCTTATTTGCTATGGGGTAAAACAAGAAGCAGCATGCCATGCAAAATTTCATGGTTATGAAAAATATGGAAGAAGCTCCGAGGGATGGCTCTCCTTCAACATATTCATTTTAATTAGTTCTGAAATAATAATAGATTTCATGTAGCTTTGAAAAATTAGTTTTTGCCAATTCATTTTCAACAAAAAACCCATCAGTGATGTCTAATGACTAATGACTAATTGACTTTGTCGCGCACATCACACGCTCAGTATGGTGCTTTCCAGTTTTCTTATTTTAAGTGCATAGTGCGTCTGTCACGTATGAACCCTCCCGTGTTAACTAGCAGATATTTAGTCTGACAGCAGGACAGTCAGATAAGTAGAGGAGCTGTGATCACGTAATTCAAATGATAAGAATTTGTATTTATAGCTGACATTATTACCACAACACTACATCATTCACTGAGAATCCTCTTTATGCATCACATATTAAAAATATATGAAAAACAAGGTAACAGAGTCGTAAACAGACGTTACTGATGCAAATTTAGAAAAATGAAATCATCAAAGAAGTAGTTTCAAAGTCCCAGTCTCTTTTTAAATCTACATTTGGAAACAAACAGCAGGATCCTTGTTGATCTGAAGCTATATGTGGCTTTACCTTTGAGAGATTTGAAGAAATGAATTGTAAAACATAGAATGCAGAAGCACAACCCTACAGTGATTTTGTCCCTGATTGATGAATGAAGACAACCACCCTCTTAAAACTTTAAATAAAAGTCAAGTTAGCAAGGCCCTCCCTCAAGGTTTGTTTCTGCTGACTTTGCGTTGGTGGACAGAATTATTCATGATATGAATGAATGTAATTAACATTAATAGCACTGCCTACAAGGGCTGCCTCGGGAATATGACTGAGATGTATTAAATACAGAAATATGATGTAGTTAAAATCTATGAGAAAAGTAAGCTATGGTAGATGTGTTAAAACCAGCAAAACAGATCATATTTAGACATTTCATTGCAAAATCTGAAACTAAATTATGATTCAGATCTCGAATGTGGATTAACTTTGACAAGCCTGCAAAACAAAGTGAAGAAACAAAAACATTTCAGTGGAAAATGTTGGGATGAATGTGTTGGTTGACATTCTGCTCCATGCTGAACATGCAGGGATGTATGAGGATAGAGGGAGCACAGGTAATTTAAAACGCATTCACCTCCTGCTGACATTGGCCTCTCATTCAGGAAAATACTGCCAGCTGTCAAGCAAATGATCCATCACTACCTTCCCATTATCGAATCCTGGGGTTCCCACCTGCTACTGGTAGAGCTGCTGTCAAGGATCTGTGTGTGTGTGTGTGTGTTGCATTCACCCATCAGTTTGTGCTGTTTTCCCCAAGGCCCTGCAATCTGGGCTTTCTCCTCCCAAACTCCATCCAGGCATGGCCATTGCAGCTATCTCCTTCTTAGCTATTTGTCACACAACGTTGAGCGTGCAAACGCCCTCAGAGTGATGTTTGTTGGCTGAGATTATGGCCAGTACAGCACCGCCACTTCTCATTTAGGACTGAATGTCCTCCAGTGAGTTTGAGGAGCCGAGAGAGTGGAAAGGCCCCAGCATGGCGTCAATGTTCCATGGATGACAGCACACACACACAGCTAAAGGAGGAAATGATGGCTGATATAAACACAAGCCAGTGAATGACATACACTGGAGCTTAATTGGTAAAGACCCTAAACTGCAAACGTGATTATGTTTTGTTGATCTAACACCAGGGACGCTGTGTGACCGCATTTACTTCCCCAGAGTAATGAAACCACTGCAGGGTGTGCTGGTGCAGGTTCACATTGTGCCTCTCATTTCTACACACACATTAATACATAATTATAAGTTCTACTTGTAACCATGTTAATTCCATTATGTCTCAGGGTTTTGCTTCATTCTCAGCTTTTATGTCCAGACTACTCATCTCTAGTGTAACACACATACAGGAATCCACAACATGAAGGAGTAAGCTGTTAATGTTGCCTAATGCGTTTGCAGGACGGACATAAGAGTATTACAGTGGTTTAAATTCCCACACAGTTCCGAGAAATAAAATGAGAGCAGAAAATCCATTAAGGTGGAAAGGTGTTGTGTGCATCAGATGTAAAACGTTTAATAGATACAGAAATATGATTGCATTTTAAAAAAGGTGCTATATTTCTCTGCCGAAAGCATTTTCAGAAGGTGTGATGCAACATTAGGCAGCAAATTTGCATAGAAAAGTTTGCTTATACTTTTTATTCTGCTAGTTCGTCTGCTCACTCACACCAATTTTCTTTTACTCAGCTGTTTATTTATTTCAGGTACAACAGACATAAAAAATAGATTACACGATGATGTGAAGACTGTGATTTAGCCAAATATGTATTTTTAATCTGCTGTCTCTGAGCAGCATGAAGTTAACATTTTATTCAGAAGCATGGAGCTATGCTTTATTGAGTTTCTGAACTGATGAACGCTCTTGTAAGAAACGTTGAATGACATTGACTGGGATCATTGTGTTTCAGTGTGCGGTGTGGTAACCTCAATTAAAAACCTCTATGGGATGACCATACTGGCTGTCAGTTGACCATCCATGGACAGACTGGTGTGTTTCATGTATACACACATTACTGAGTGTGCATGCATCAGGGGAGCAAAGACAATTTGGCAGTTGGTCACATGTGTAATGTAGTTAAATGACATAAATCCCCCCCCCGCGCCAAGAGTACTGCTGCGCCGACTGTGGTTCTTGTTTTGAACATTAGTGTTTATGAAAATGCTGCTTTAGAGGGAGCTGTCTGAGCTTAAAACTGATGTTCACTCCTGTAGTTTCAGAGTAAAACACATGTAAAGCAGATCAACTCAGCTAACAGCTAATTCTGCTCTGCTTATTTTTACAATTAACACAGTTTTTGGCACAAAAACTACTTGATGTCCAAAAAGACTGCCTGTGTACGCATGCTACTCACAATACCTCTCAGAAACCCAAGTCAATCGAGCATCAAAAGACTGTATACAGCAAAATGTTTTCAACAGAATGTGCAGTACCTACATTCAAATTGCTAATGGAATCTTTTAGAATAGAGATAATTTGACATATTACCAGCGTCAGTAAAGGCCCTGCTCACCCCAGGTACAATCACACAGGTGTTTCCACTTATTTTGGTTTATTGCACCATGCACACCTTCTCAGGTGTCTGTGGTCATGTGCAGGCTGGTGGATGGACACTCCCATCAGTATCCTTTCAGAGTCGTCCCTCTGTGGTTCCTTCTCTGTTCTCGACTCTGAGGCTCTGCACAGCTCTGGCTTGAGGATGTCAACCATCACTGAGCATAAAACACAGACTGATGTAATTCTGCTGCAATGTGCCCGCTCTAACAGTGTGTAAGATTTAGGTGAAAGGGAACTATCTGAAGAAATTTAATGTAGAATAATCCTCATGATGTTTTCACAAGATCGTTTCATCTAAATTGTATGAATTGTAGTTTTCTTTACCCCAGAAAAGACCCTTTATATTCAAATACTTTATATTTACATGGAGGGGACCCTCTCTACGGAGGCCGCCATGTCTTTTACATTAGTCCAGACTGGACAAACTAAACACATTTTGAGTTTTTATGACAATTAAAGGCCACCACAGTTTCTTTTTCATGTTTGGAAGGAGAGGGTGAGGTGAGGGGTGTTCAGCTGCAACATGCAACTTCAACACTAGATATCACAAAATTCTACACACTGTACCTTTAAGTCGAACTCTGTTTATGAAAATGTATCACACAGTATGTGCATAAAGATGTGTGTGATAGTTATCTGAAAGGCAATTACTGCTGCACATAACAATGCTGGTCTTATTTTATATCCTCCTCTCTATTTCTGAGCTTATCTGAAGAAGACACATTACTACTCCCAGATCCCCCATATAACCCTCTGTGCTGGATGATACACAGCCTAATTGGCGGAGTGAGGCCTCTCATTAAAAGCGACAGGTATAATCTCGCTAACCGGAAGCTTTGAGGCCACGGTGGCCAATCAGAGGGGCTAAATGCTCGACTGAAAAGCAGCTATTACTGCTGTGATCCCACGCTGTAGCTTTGTGGTGAGCAGATGCATGACCCCCCTGCACCCTCTTTTGATATCTCTTATCTTTTGATAATGGTTGCCATGGACACATAGATGAAATCAC